CATGGTGACTCTTTAACATTCAATCTTACAACTTATTATTATGTTTTGCTTGTTGTATAATATTAAATAAATTAAAAATTCAAAAAAAAATTGGGAACGCTTCACGATTTTGGGTGTCATCCTTGCGCCGGGGCCATGCTAATCTTCTCTGTATCGTTCCAATTTTAGTATATGTTCTGCCGAAGCAAGAACACTTCTGAATGTTCCAAAATTGTATTTATACTTAAACAACCGGGCTATACGCCACAACGCGAGTTAGTCGCTAAGGGTTGAAGCGCCACCTGTTATGCTTTGAATCATGGTGACTCTTTAACATTCAATCTTACAACTTATTATTATGTTTTGCTTGTTGTATAATATTAAATAAATTAAAAAAAACGTGGAACGCTTCACGATTTTGCGTGTCATCCTTGCGCAGGGGCCATGCTAATCTTCTCTGTATCGTTCCAATTTTAGTATATGTTCTGCCGAAGCAAGAACACTTCTGAATGTTCCAAAATTGTATTTATACTTAAACAACCGGGCTATACGCCACAACGCGAGTTAGTCGCTAAGGGTTGAAGCGCCACCTGTTATGCTTTGAATCATGGTGACTCTTTAACATTCAATCTTACAACTTATTATTATGTTTGCTTGTTGTATAATATTAAATAAATTAAAAATTCAAAAAAAAATGTGGAACGCTTCACGATTTTGCGTGTCATCCTTGCGCAGGGGCCATGCTAATCTTCTCTGTATCGTTCCAATTTTAGTATATGTTCTGCCGAAGCAAGAACACTTCTGAATGTTCCAAAATTGTATTTATACTTAAACAACCGGGCTATACGCCACAACGCGAGTTAGTCGCTAAGGGTTGAAGCGCCACCTGTTATGCTTTGAATCATGGTGACTCTTTAACATTCAATCTTACAACTTATTATTATGTTTGCTTGTTGTATAATATTAAATAAATTAAAAATTCAAAAAAAATGTGGAACGCTTCACGATTTTGCGTGTCATCCTTGCGCAGGGGCCATGCTAATCTTCTCTGTATCGTTCCAATTTTAGTATATGTTCTGCCGAAGCAAGAACACTTCTGAATGTTCCAAAATTGTATTTATACTTAAACAACCGGGCTATACGCCACAACGCGAGTTAGTCGCTAAGGGTTGAAGCGCCACCTGTTATGCTTTGAATCATGGTGACTCTTTAACATTCAATCTTACAACTTATTATTATGTTTGCTTGTTGTATAATATTAAATAAATTAAAAATTCAAAAAAAATGTGGAACGCTTCACGATTTTGCGTGTCATCCTTGCGCAGGGGCCATGCTAATCTTCTCTGTATCGTTCCAATTTTAGTATATGTTCTGCCGAAGCAAGAACACTTCTGAATGTTCCAAAATTGTATTTATACTTAAACAACCGGGCTATACGCCACAACGCGAGTTAGTCGCTAAGGGTTGAAGCGCCACCTGTTATGCTTTGAATCATGGTGACTCTTTAACATTCAATCTTACAACTTATTATTATGTTTTGCTTGTTGTATAATATTAAATAAATTAAAAATTCAAAAAAAAATGTGGAACGCTTCACGATTTTGCGTGTCATCCTTGCGCAGGGGCCATGCTAATCTTCTCTGTATCGTTCCAATTTTAGTATATGTTCTGCCGAAGCAAGAACACTTCTGAATGTTCCAAAATTGTATTTATACTTAAACAACCGGGCTATACGCCACAACGCGAGTTAGTCGCTAAGGGTTGAAGCGCCACCTGTTATGCTTTGAATCATGGTGACTCTTTAACATTCAATCTTACAACTTATTATTATGTTTTGCTTGTTGTATAATATTAAATAAATTAAAAATTCAAAAAAAATGTGGAACGCTTCACGATTTTGCGTGTCATCCTTGCGCAGGGGCCATGCTAATCTTCTCTGTATCGTTCCAATTTTAGTATATGTTCTGCCGAAGCAAGAACACTTCTGAATGTTCCAAAATTGTATTTATACTTAAACAACCGGGCTATACGCCACAACGCGAGTTAGTCGCTAAGGGTTGAAGCGCCACCTGTTATGCTTTGAATCATGGTGACTCTTTAACATTCAATCTTACAACTTATTATTATGTTTTGCTTGTTGTATAATATTAAATAAATTAAAATTCAAAAAAAATGTGGAACGCTTCACGATTTTGCGTGTCATCCTTGCGCAGGGGCCATGCTAATCTTCTCTGTATCGTTCCAATTTTAGTATATGTTCTGCCGAAGCAAGAACACTTCTGAATGTTCCAAAATTGTATTTATACTTAAACAACCGGGCTATACGCCACAACGCGAGTTAGTCGCTAAGGGTTGAAGCGCCACCTGTTATGCTTTGAATCATGGTGACTCTTTAACATTCAATCTTACAACTTATTATTATGTTTTGCTTGTTGTATAATATTAAATAAATTAAAAATTAAAAAAAAATTGGAACGCTTCACGATTTTGGGTGTCATCCTTGCGCAGGGGCCATGCTAATCTTCTCTGTATCGTTCCAATTTTAGTATATGTTCTGCCGAAGCAAGAACACTTCTGAATGTTCCAAAATTGTATTTATACTTAAACAACCGGGCTATACGCCACAACGCGAGTTAGTCGCTAAGGGTTGAAGCGCCACCTGTTATGCTTTGAATCATGGTGACTCTTTAACATTCAATCTTACAACTTATTATTATGTTTTGCTTGTTGTATAATATTAAATAAATTAAAATTAAAAAAAAAACGTGGAACGCTTCACGATTTTGCGTGTCATCCTTGCGCAGGGGCCATGCTAATCTTCTCTGTATCGTTCCAATTTTAGTATATGTTCTGCCGAAGCAAGAACACTTCTGAATGTTCCAAAATTGTATTTATACTTAAACAACCGGGCTATACGCCACAACGCGAGTTAGTCGCTAAGGGTTGAAGCGCCACCTGTTATGCTTTGAATCATGGTGACTCTTTAACATTCAATCTTACAACTTATTATTATGTTTTGCTTGTTGTATAATATTAAATAAATTAAAAATTCAAAAAAAATGTGGAACGCTTCACGATTTTGCGTGTCATCCTTGCGCAGGGGCCATGCTAATCTTCTCTGTATCGTTCCAATTTTAGTATATGTTCTGCCGAAGCAAGAACACTTCTGAATGTTCCAAAATTGTATTTATACTTAAACAACCGGGCTATACGCCACAACGCGAGTTAGTCGCTAAGGGTTGAAGCGCCACCTGTTATGCTTTGAATCATGGTGACTCTTTAACATTCAATCTTACAACTTATTATTATGTTTTGCTTGTTGTATAATATTAAATAAATTAAAATTCAAAAAAAATGTGGAACGCTTCACGATTTTGCGTGTCATCCTTGCGCAGGGGCCATGCTAATCTTCTCTGTATCGTTCCAATTTTAGTATATGTTCTGCCGAAGCAAGAACACTTCTGAATGTTCCAAAATTGTATTTATACTTAAACAACCGGGCTATACGCCACAACGCGAGTTAGTCGCTAAGGGTTGAAGCGCCACCTGTTATGCTTTGAATCATGGTGACTCTTTAACATTCAATCTTACAACTTATTATTATGTTTTGCTTGTTGTATAATATAAATAAATTAAAAAATTCAAAAAAAAAAAATGTGGAACGCTTCACGATTTTGCGTGTCATCCTTGCGCAGGGGCATGCTAATCTTCTCTGTATCGTTCCAATTTTAGTATATGTTCTGCCGAAGCAAGAACACTTCTGAATGTTCCAAAATTGTATTTATACTTAAACAACCGGGCTATACGCCACAACGCGAGTTAGTCGCTAAGGGTTGAAGCGCCACCTGTTATGCTTTGAATCATGGTGACTCTTTAACATTCAATCTTACAACTTATTATTATGTTTTGCTTGTTGTATAATATAAATAAATTAAAAATTCAAAAAAAAAATGTGGAACGCTTCACGATTTTGCGTGTCATCCTTGCGCAGGGGCCATGCTAATCTTCTCTGTATCGTTCCAATTTTAGTATATGTTCTGCCGAAGCAAGAACACTTCTGAATGTTCCAAAATTGTATTTATACTTAAACAACCGGGCTATACGCCACAACGCGAGTTAGTCGCTAAGGGTTGAAGCGCCACCTGTTATGCTTTGAATCATGGTGACTCTTTAACATTCAATCTTACAACTTATTATTATGTTTTGCTTGTTGTATAATATTAAATAAATTAAAAATTCAAAAAAAATGTGGAACGCTTCACGATTTTGCGTGTCATCCTTGCGCAGGGGCCATGCTAATCTTCTCTGTATCGTTCCAATTTTAGTATATGTTCTGCCGAAGCAAGAACACTTCTGAATGTTCCAAAATTGTATTTATACTTAAACAACCGGGCTATACGCCACAACGCGAGTTAGTCGCTAAGGTTTGAAGCGCCACCTGTTATGCTTTGAATCATGGTGACTCTTTAACATTCAATCTTACAACTTATTATTATGTTTTGCTTGTTGTATAATATTAAATAATTAAAGGAAAATTTGAAAAGGAGTTCATTCTCTCAATTTCGAAATCACTGTTATTTGTAATATGATTTTGTATCTTTGAAGATAAAAATATTACTTGCCATCCTTTTAGGATAAGCGTAAAAATATGTATTGTATAATAAAAAATTTGCAAATTTGCAAATTCACAAATTTGTTTTCAACACAACGATTATTTTTGTTAAACATGAATATGATGTTATAAAAAACCCTAAAATCCAATAGGCCTGAAATATTAGATAAATTGTGAAATGAGAATGCATTTATGTGATTTCAACTATATTTGGAAAATGTTTTTACATGACAATTAAGCCTACCAACTTTTATATAAATCTATAAAACTGTACATATTAATTTATAATTATATATAAATCTAGAATTGGAAAATTTGGGTAATAATTAACATTCATGCATTTCTTAGAAATGATTATGCATATAACAACACTTTATAATTAGTTTAAAATTTAATAACGTCGAACAATTCAAAATAAATATAACAAATGCGCATCAGATGTAGTGGACAATTGTGTTTGAAATATTACACATATAAAATATGTAAAATTTCTAATCACCAATAAAAATATGCGTAATACTTCTTATTGTGACTTTTATAGTCCACCATATTTAACTTGTAGAAAGTTAGTTATTATATCATGTGTCAATCGCTTTATATAGTAAAATAAATAAATAGAATTTTCAATCACTGTTCACTCCAAAGCTTCTGCTCCAGTACTTGGCAACAAGAAGCACAATAATCCACTCACTGAAATTAAAATCATAGCATAAATTAGCATACAAAATGAATATCAAGAACAATAATGTAAAACTCACCAAAAAGCATAGCAGCAAAGACTACTATGGGAACTATACAATTAAGGTCTATTAAGAATCCAAATAAAAGGTTTCCCAGCAAAGCGCCACCTCTACCAAAAGTCAAAGATAATGCAGCTGCCATGACTCTGAAAGTTAAAATGAAGAAATTTTATTTGCTAAATTAGTATGTAATGATTTGGAACATTTCAATGTTATATTAAAACTTTATTACCTCAGATTTGTAGGAAACAAATCAACCATAACACAGTATACTGTGCTGATTCCTAGTGATGTCAGAGCCTCGAATATACAGGACAATATTAAATTTTGGAGAGCAGTCTGAACGAAGTATAGACCCAACGTCACTGCTGCGGCTACAACCAAGCTAAATACTAAATATATACAAACATTGTTTAGTTTTAGTTGAGTGCTTCATTTACATTACCGGATTTTTTTAGCATAGAAAAAAAATTCGCAAAATGAACAAATTAATATTACCTAAGAAAAATTTAGCTCCTAGTTTATGCACACACAAAGGTAGCCAAAAACTAGTAGGTATACAAGCTGCTCCAATTATTATAGTATGAATGAAAACTGAATCCTGGACCGGATCTCCACACAAATCTTCATCCCCGACGACAATGGAGGAGACATCACAGACTGATGCAATCTCACCTGGGTGAGCATGTTCAAATTCTTCAAAGCGATAAAAAAGTTCGGGAAACCAAATGATCAAAGTATAGTAACTGAAATTATACATATTTTATATTATCAGAATTATAGTATAAATTTGTATCTAAGAAGCTGATAAGTTTACCTGGACGTGAGACCAAATTGTATGGCGCAGGTAAGAGCAGTATTTCTCAAGTATGGTGGCCTGCACAGTGCTTTAGTTTGCTCCCAAATTTCAATCAACAACAACTTAAGTTCTTGTGGTTTAAAAACACTTAAACTTCTTACACTTCTACAAGGTTTCTCAGTAGATGTACTCAAATAACGAACCTTCTCTCTCAAGCTTGTTACCTGTTAATACAAAATGCATTAAAACTTTGAAATTGTTCTTGTATATATAATTAAATACTAACTGGATAATCTTCAGCTTTATTTCCAGTATTTTCGACGAACATTCTTCTTAAGACCGCCAATGCACTTTCAGTTTCACCACATTCCAGTAGGAATTTAGGGCTTTCAGGAAACATGACTAACCATAATGCTATCAATAAGCTTGGCAAAGCACATAAAGCAACAAATAAATTCCAACTAGCGAATAGAAAATGGGGAGTTTCAAATCGAAAATGTAATGGAATTACTCCCCAAGCAATAGCTAGAAATAAAAATATATAATAATAATAATAAATCGAATATTTATATAAAAAAATAATTAGGTAATTGTTCTACAAACCTGGCAATACGATTATACCGAAAGTCCAAAATAACTCCATCCAACATAATATCTTTTCCCTATACTTTGTTGGTTGAAATTCTCCCAAATAGGGGAAGCAAATACCCATTGCTCCAGTTATACTAAACAATTCAAATAAAAAAATTATTATTGTAATAACACTAATAACATGATATATGGAATATACTACGTACCCAAATCCATTCAAAAACCTGAAGAACATAAATAAATAGAAATATTGTGATATAGATGATGCCAACCCACATATGCCATCCAATGTTAAAGAAGCTATAAGAACAGTCTTTCGCCCCCTAGTGTCAGCTAAGCAACCCCAGAAGTATGATCCGATCACCATTCCTGAAAATAATATATCTCAATGGAATTATTCCTATTCTCCAAGGAAAAAGTAATTTGATATAAATGAGCTAAACGTATGTGGCATTTTGCCTTAAGGCAAAACTGTATGCATACTCATACATTCTGTAACTTTGGTGCCAAACAGTTCAAAAAAATTTGTTTAAATCGAATTAATCCGATTTGATGTTTTCATACATGGCACCTACCGCCTGAGATGAACTTACATGTCCATGTAATTTACTTATATATTTGATATGATACTGAATTTTTTACTGAAAGAATGGGCAAAACCATTCTTTTTTATAGCATAAAAAGAAGATATTGCATTATATATCTATACAAATGCGATCTAAATTGATCTAGAATATGTACAGATGAATACCCAAACTTATGTATCAATCCACAATCATGTTGTAGCCATTACATATATTGAAAAATAATTTTTATTTTCTTATATTAAGGATTCTAAAGAGAGATTAATATACTTTTTTGTTTTAATTTACCTAAAATACCAGAAATGCTTTCAAAATTCATAACTAATACCATATCAAATAAATGATATATTTACCTAGCATTGGGGCTGCTGTTAACCACCCTTTGTCTGCAGAAGTCATCTGGAAATCGCACGTCGCCGAAGGCAAAACAAAAGACAATATTGTTATGCCGACAGCAGTATTCATGTATATCAGGCCACATACTGTCAATAGAAGGTAGTGAAATTTGCCAAAACCTTAAAAAATGCCTACAGTTAAAATACGGAAAATATATTTGAATATTATTAATTCTTACGTACCAGTTGCTGACAAAGCATATTCGAAGTCGGAACCTTGTGCATCTAGGAAATTCAACCCTATTGCGTAATAAGATTAATAATAATTAGAACTAGAATTCAAATTCATAAATTATAAATAGTATGCGACACTTTTAGTATCAAAATTAAACTATTAACTAAAAGAAATATTTAATTTATTAATTTTTAATTTACTGGATAACTGTATGAACTACGCACAAATTAAGAAAATATTTTCTTAAAATGGCATCTGTCTGAAAAAAATCTTTTTACAACTTTATTGATATTCTTATTTTTTCCAAAAATAGTTAAAATCGGAATTTGAGCGTGGTTTATACTAAAAAAAAGTCTATAAAGAAGCCATTAAAAATTTAAATTAAATCGGTCAAGTGGAATTTGAGTAATGGTGGGTGTCGGAAAGGACAATTTTGAAAAATCCTCTTGTACACTATCTTGAATGTGTAGTTAGATTTAAAAAATGTCTAGGGAAACAGAATTGATTTTTTAAACTTATAGGCTAGAATACTATCTTTAAGAAAATTATACGGTAAGTTCAGAAAGAAATCACTATAAAATGATATTAGAACATCGTAAGTAAAATTGTTAAAAATCCTCATTTTGAAAGTGTTTAAATTAATTATGCATATAATTTTTTTTAATAATTTTTCTGACTTGTTGAGTAGCCGACACCTCACATTGCACTTAAATAATCAAATACAAAATAAATTCAATTTTGATTTGCTTCCGTTTGATGTGAACCCCACGTTTGAGAATCACTGCGCTGGGCATATTACGTGTTATGTGAACCCCATATTTGAGAACCACTGCGCTAGGCATATTACGTTTCAAGTTAAGCTAATACGGTAGTAATACAGTAATGATTCATAAAATTATTTCAGAGGTAAACTATATAATTGTTGCATATATAAACGAATTTAAAAGGCAAATAACCAAAACTGATGAACTAAAAAAAAAACAAGGTTAGTAGTATATTCAATGAAGGTTTTTTGCAACAAGTCCCCAGAATTATTTTTTTTCAAAGTTTTTTTTTTTAATTTTTATTTGTCATTGTTATTCAAAATCAGAACAATTTCAGAAAAAAATATTTTTTTATTGTCTAAACAACATGTATGTTATTTGTACAAAGAAATAAGATGTGGGCAGATTTCTCCGAAAGAAAAAAGTAGTGCATAAATTTTAGAGTTAAGGAATTCATAAAAATTGTTAATAATTCAGACATAAAATAATTTGAATCACAAACGTTTTTTGCATTTTTTCAGACCAAATAATTTCAGTCCCATTTTCATCAAAATAGAAAATCTAATTCCGTCTGTTAATCACAATAAATAAATTAAATTTGATATAATTAATTTAATGTATTTTAGTAGTTTAGATGCTTTAGGACACATTTTTCTGAAATAAATGGATTAACTAAAGGTAAACGATTTTAAGAAAAAAAACGATTTTTTACAAAAACCACCTTCTTTCCACAATAACTAAAAATTATGCAAGACACATATAAAGAAATAATATTTTTTTAAAAAAATTATGAAATACCTACATTTCTATCACTTCATATTAACGTTAATTCTAGGCGAAATACGATTTTTTTTTTTTTTTTTTTTTTGAAATGGCGCTTATGAAACCCATTAATTTTAGAAAAAAAAACATATCTTATATATATTTCTTTACAGAAATGTTTATGATATGAAAATTAAGTTTTAAATTAGTACACGTAATAGTACTTTTAGAAACGTATTTCCTGATCTAAATAACATACAAACATGTTTTTAACCCTTCTCGTACGCCCGCAGTGGGCAGACTATTGCCTCGATTAAAAAAAAAAAAAACATAATCAAAATTTGAACTATCTATAATACGAGAGCATTCATTTTTAAAGGTAAATAAATTTTGAAGACCTGAAAAATGCTCGGATCACTTACGAGTAATCTTACTGTAAATCTACTGAACCCTCAGATGTACGAGAAGGGTTCAGCAATAAAGTATTATTTTTCTTCTCCAAAGTGTTTCTAATTTTAAATATTAAATGAATTTGAAGTTTATAACTTCCCGAAGAAGAAGTTTGTTTTCATCAAATAATCCGATTCGCTAATTTTATATTTTCTCGGCGTTTCTAGCCATTTTGAATCGAATGAGACCAAATTTGAAAAAAGTATGCATGTGTCTGTGTGTGTGTGTGTGTGTAAAGATCGGCCGGGCCGTTTTCTTGTAATGAAGTGTTCAAAAATGTTTTTCGACGATTTTTATGATTTTTTTGACGGTAGATACCAAGATCTTATAGACCATACTGAAATATAACGGCCCTACGACAACAACTCGTTTAACTTTAAAAATTCATCACAGTTTGCAAAAATTAGAATCATTTTTTTATGTTTTCTCAAAAATAATAAACATCAAAATTAATAAAAACATATCATTTCTCACCAGTGCCAAATTCGTGCCTGGAAGGCATTAGTTCGAGTCCGGCCGCTTGGCCGCGAACCGGGCGTGATGCTTTGTCCGCCACCGTTGCAATTTTGACGAACTGCCGCTCGATGAACTTTTTATTTAATACATTCCTCTTCAATTCTATACTAATGAAGTATCGACCTGCGAGAAATGAGTTATAAAAACCTTAGTTCGATTCAATTCAAAACATATTTCATTAAAAATATATACTCAGAGGTAAATTTAAAATAAAAATAGCAGTAGTCGGGGCTAGTGTCCAGAGCGAAAAAAATTGGAAAAGTGAAAAAAAAACACATAATATATTTAAATAATTATTTTTAATAACATTTTTCACTTCAAGAAATATAGTTTCTGCATCATGTGTCACAAATTAAAACTTTGTATATTATAATTTTCAAAATGAAAATTATAATTATAAGTAAAACTATAGAAGTAGTTCAATTAATTTATTTTCATGTAAATTTGAAGATAAGGTTTGATTCTTTTATTTTCGGAAATCAATAAATATATGCATTTTTTTCTGAAAAATCGAAAATATTTTCAACTTATTCACACATTTCTGAAAACAATCTTCAATTGATCAATGAGATTGGCAGCAAAATTTCAGTGATAAGGCGGCATTTTTTCCTGTGCTCTAGAGAGGCGTAAATTTAAATCCTGCCTTCTATATACTTTGTCATATTTTCAATAGACTTTTTACTTGTAGATATCGTGTCCTACATGTCTGATATTAATAACACTAATAAGTATTTAAAAAATAAATGTGACAAAAAATAATAGGTTTGACATTATCAACACGTTTGCGGACAGTAAAAATTTCAGCAAGACACAAAAATTGAGAACCGCTTTTTTTAAATTGATTGGTATATTCGAAATTTTTAAACTTTTCATAAAGGTCGTATAATAACCACAATTTATTCAATATATATGTTGAATGCTATAGCATCTACGTCAAGTATTTTGCTTCTGTTTTAAACAATTTGCTTGCTCAAGTTTATTAGTGACTCCGGCAAAAGATAAGATAATACGAAAATACCTGAAGCCATTACCTTGACAGATATAATATAATATAACAAAAAAGTAAGGATTTATAAAATCAAATCAAATTAATTGATTTTAAAATTTGAATGCTATATCATTTATGTCATTTAAGTTTGACAATGAAAATAAATGTTATAGCCTTTACGTCCGTGTATGTGTGTGTGTGCGGATACAAATTTTCGTCGACGATTTCGGGAACACCAATCAACCGATTTGAATAATTAACTAGCTGTAAGTGGAATTCTGTCTTAAGGCAATTAAGGCATCGTGCCTTAAGGCAAATTGCTGGAACTTCCCGTACCAAACATTATTATTTTTTTAAAAACGATTAACATTTTTGAAAAAAAAAATTACTTTGAAAAAATAAGATTTTTGAGAAACTATAAATTGGACAAAAAATTACTTTTTTTTGAAAAAAATTTTTTAAAAAAAAATTTTTTTTTTTTGAAAAAAATTTTTTTTTTTTATTTTGACATATTGTGGAAGATCTGAACTTTCTTTTCAAAGCAATCAATCGTACTGCTTTAACTGCATAGGGACAAAATATAAAGCGCGTAAGCGCCGCGTCGCTGTCTAAAGCATAAGCATTGGTACGGAACCCATAGGAATGTTAACAAATTGTATACTTATTGTTAAAATCTCTATAAAATATCTGATAATTTTATGAGCATATGTCTAATGATCATTTTTGACCGCCAAATGGCTCATTTTTTTACTTTTTCCTCCATATCTCCGAATCCGCTAGACCTACCTTCTTTTATCGATTCTTCATCTTGTCAATACAAGTGAAATGTTTTTTGAATTATTCAAATCGGACGCTACGTTCTCTCAAAAACTGAGCTACCGTTTTCGGCACTTTTTGCCCCGTATCTTTGGAACGGCTAGACCTGCCTTCGCCAAAAACTAATCAGCACGTCTCCTTATCAATACGAATCGAATGTTTTTTGAATTATTCAAATCGGTTGACCCGTGTTCCCGAAATCGTCGACGAAAATTTGTATCCGCACATACATACACACACATACATACATACACACACACACATACACACACACACACATACATCCATTTTTTCTAAGGTATGCCAAAATGTTCAGAAACCTCTGAAACGTAAAGATATATAAAAATTTTCATTTTCGATTTTTTTGCGATTACTATAACTTGCCCTACGGGAGTTAAAAAAACACTCGATTCGTATTGATACGGAGACGTGCTGATTAGTTTTGGCGGAGGCAGGTCTAGCCGTTCCAAAGATACGGGGCAAAAAGTGACAAAAATGGTAACTCAGTTTTTAAAAGAACGGAGCGTCCGATTTTAATAATTCAAAAAACATTTTACTTGTATTGACAAGATAAAGAATTGATCAAATTTTCATAAAGGCAGATTTCGGAGATCTAATGAAAAAAGTAAAAAAAAAAGCCATTTGGCGGTCAAAAATGATCATTAGACATATGCACATCAGATTATCAGATATTTTATATAAGTATAAATTTTGTATAATATATAAATATATATAAGTAAAAATTTTGTTTATATTCCTATGGGTTCCGTACCAATGTTCATCCGTTAGACGGCGATGCAGCGCTTACGCGCTTTGACATTTCGTCTCTATGCAGTTAAAGCAGTACGATTGCTTTCAAAAAAAGTAATTTTTGGTTTTTTCCCTTAAGGCACGATGCCATGCGCCCCACTAGTTTCTTATTTCATCTAAAAGATTTTATTTAGAAAAGAAAACTGATCATTTTATAAATTACTAGATATACTATTATTCGAATAGATGAAATTTTTAACAAACGTAACACTGGTAATGCTGCAAACTTAAAGTAAAATGAATGCTAAATGTCTTCAATTATGTTAAGATTTATTTGAATCTGAATGATTGAGATATATTAGTTAAAATATGAAAATTTATGTATATTTCTGAATTATAAAAAATGTATCAATGCAATAATGAGGAAGAGAACATAAAATTCCTTGCAAACAGATTTTACATTTACAGTATTGATATCTCAACACTGATTTTATTTTAATAATACTTTATAAACAAAAAAAAATAATAACATTATGTCTTTTATACATAATATGCTAAAATTGTAATAAAGTCCGTATGCAAGCACGATTTACTCGTTACAAGAGTGTTTGCGTAGGAGTGATGCTGCTGTACGAGCTAGACTACCGTCATTGTTACGCAATAACAAATTAGAATTCTCATTAATTGAATTCAGAGGTAAATTAAGAAGACATTTGTATACACAGACGAGTAAAATAAAAAAATGTATCTATTGTATATTATAAAATAAAATAGAATTTTATTGATTTGATCTATTTGCCTAGGATAAAACAATGAATTCTATTAACATACATTTAGTTTAATATAGACAAAAAATGATCATTTTTGTGCACATGAAACAAAATCGATAATTAGTTACATTATTGATTAAATTCGCAAATTGTTCTGGAGTGAATAAATGGTATGATTAGTTAAATTGTAAAACAGTAATCATATAATTGTACCAAATGTTGAAATCGATTATATCATTAAAATAAATTATATCCATAGATTACAAAACCAAATTTTATTAGTTTGTGGAATACAAAGAAAAGAAAGATTGCCGATATGAATATTTATTCCAATTTGCTATGAATTGCTCGGACTTTAATATTGATTACATGAATACAAATAATAATAAATAATATCACATAAAGTAGAACAAACAATGGAAAATAAATTCAATTCATGTGCTTGAAAAATATATTAGAAATAGTCAAAAAGTACCAGAAACAAGAATGCTATGTAGGATTTTTTTAAAGCAATTGTACTACTTTGACTGCATAGAGACAAAATATCGAAGCGCGTAAGCGCCGCGTCTCCGTCTAACGGATAAACATTGGTACGAAACCTACATTGAATTAAACAAAATTTATACTCATTGTTAAAATCTCTATAAAATATCTGATAATTTGATGTGCATATCTAATAATGATCATTTATGACCGCCAAATGGCATTTTTTTTATTTTTACTTTTTTCACTAGATCTTCGAAACCGGTAGACCTGCCATAAAAATTTAATCAGTTCTTCATTTTGTCAATACAAGTAAAATGTTTTTTTGAATTATTAAAATCGGATGCTCCGTTCTCTTGAAAACTGATTTACCGTTTCGGGCACTTTTTGCCCCGTATCTTCGAAACGGCTGGACCTGCTTATGCAAAAAACTAATCAGCACGTCTCCTTATTAACAGCAATCGAATGTTTTCTGAATAATTAAAATCGGTTGAACCGTGTTCCCGAAATCGTTGACGAAAATTTGTATCCGCACGCGCCCACACACACATCCATTTTTCTAAGGTATTCCAAAATGTTCAGAAACCTCTAAAAATATATATAAAAATTTTCATTTTTGATTTTTTTGCGATTACAATAATTTACCCTACGTGCAGTTAATAAAATGCGTTCATTAAATAGTTAGTTATTTATAGCACAAGGAAGATGAAAATTAATAATTGAATATGTTTAATAAAAGCAAGGAAAATGTCGATACTCAACTGGCAAAGTACGGAACGAATCCGATTTATCGAATGTTCTCTGCCTATCATAAAATAAATATGGTTTTCGATTGCTGTAAGAACTACTTTACTTTGGCCAATGTTACAATAAATTAATTATAAAAGTAACAATTTCAAGGAATAACAAAATGAGGAGTGGTTTGAATCAGACTGAAAGTCACTGATTAATGACCACCACAATCTAATATAATATAACTGAGGGTATTTCTGCTTACCTTTAATTTTTCCCAATTACTCAATGAACTTCCTATCTTTCCTTGAAATCGTAGGATGCACTGACAAATCATATAACAATTTGAGTATAATATTAATAACGTTTCGCGTAAACTCTTCAAATATACTAATAAAAAATATCACAGGTTTTTCTCATCACTATGACTTACACAAACAAAATAATAGACCAATTTGAAAATGGCTAAATAAATTTAGTATTTAATTCCAAATATTGGTAAAATTACTCCATTACCGACTGCAAGAAGTGCACGCGTTTGTGTCCCTTAACCTGTTGCACTGAATTAATTGCGACGTATAATTCCCAAATTTGTTCGGATTGCGTAATAATATTTAGGGTCTTCATATTCCAGTGTTGGCAAGTTTAAGGTCGTAAATTCAAATCAGAATAAAATATATATTGAAACGTTACTAACATTTGTAACTGTAAGGGGTAACTTATTGATTGTAACTTATGGGAGTCTTATATTTTCTATTTAAGTTTTTACATCTTAAGGGGGTATTCTACTGTAGAATTTTGAAAAAATCGAAAAAATTTTTTTTCATATTTTCAAAGTTTAGTTATTCAAAAATATGTCATTAAAAGGATTTTTCAAAATTACAATTATTTCCTGAGTTATATCCGTTTTAGTGACGTGGCTTAGGTTCGGGTCCGATCGAGTCTCAAAACTTTGAACGCGTTTTTCTCGGAACTACTTTTTTCGAGCTGGCGGTAAGGATATCTCGAGTTCTAATGAACCGATTTACTTCAAATTTGGAGAGGATCTTCTCCATACAATGCTTTATCGCATGAACCTTTCCCAAAACTATAACTTTTCATTAAGTATTTTAAAAAAATTCGGAATTGTTAAAAAAAACATGAAAAAAACATTTTTTTTCAAACTGCCGCCATTCAAACAAAAAATTTTTTTTAACTTATCCAAGGTTCATACGATAGCGGCATCTATAATAATTAAGAATCCATCTATTTTTTATGTTTCGGATCACCAGGAGGGTTGGAATCATGCACGCCAGGACACCCTCTTTTTTTGAGCCCCAACTTTGACTGCTCATAACTTTGTGAATTCTAACTTTTTTCCTTTAATATTTTTTTTTATGTAATAATAAAATATCAATAAACAAATGATAAAAATATAATAAAAATTAATTGATCTTCATAATTTATTATCGAGAATTTTTATAATTATCACAGCTATGATATACTATGATGATTACCCAAATACATAATAGGCTGACTAATATTCACTATAATAATTAAACTAATAATAACTGTAATTATATTTTTAACAATATTTAATTTTCTATGTTTATATGCTTAATAAGTTTAAATATTATATTAGCGACAACACAATCAGAGAATTTTAATTGTAATTTTTATGATAATTTACAATGATATTTAATTCCTATTATTCAAATACAGTTATGCTAACTAATATACACTAAAATAATTAAACTAATAACTAGAATTATATTTTTTAGCAATATTTAAATTTTGCATTTAAGAATGTTATAAGCCCTCGGATTATATCAAATATTATATCTAACATCCAAATATTAATCAATTATATTATATTTATACAAAAATATTTAAACACATGAAATCATACATTTTTAACTTTAAATACATAAATTTATTTTTTTATTATTAATAAATAAAAGAATATATTATAGTGGGTAATAGTAGCTTTAACATATTTAAACACGTCGCTTATATTCGAGATGATTTGCCATCAGTGATCTTTCAAATATAAAACCCAATAGCCAACATTATAAAAATGAAAAAATTTACATAGAAAAGAATACACTCACTGTCATTTTAAAATTATTTAAAAATAAGTGAAGGGATTATGTATAAAATTTCATTAAATATTTATAAAAATTGTAAAGGTTATAATTTTGGTAAATCTGTTCAAGAAGGCGAATTTGATATTTTAAATATGTAAGAAATTTATCTAAAATTAATTGCTGAGATTTCTTACCCCTTGAAATTATTTTTAAAATAACAGAGTAGAATAATTTACATTATATTTTAATATATATTTAATCTTAAAACATCCCCACAATGATAATCAAAATTAATGAATTTTTGTTTGCATATTATCGTTACGATCAGAAATTTTTTAACACAAATATGTAAAATATAAATTATAGAACAAAATTAATTATAGTGTTATCGTCTCGGCGAGCCTTGGCCAAGTGGTTGAGTGGTTGTCTCTTAGACACAGGGGTACTCGGATCGAATCCAGATCGAGTGCCTTATATAAATTGATGTAGAATGAAGAAACAAGAAAATTGGAAAACAGTTGTAAGTAATCTATTAAAAATTAAACACTCATTTTCTGTTGTACCTGTTTAAGTAATGCGTTTATACGTATACATTAAATTAAACCAGTGGTACCGATGACATCGTGTCTTAAGACAAATTGCTGTAACTTAATTAAAAAAATAAATTAAAATTGTCTTATAACATTTTTGAAAATATTTTACTTTAAAAAAATTAGATTTTTGAGAAACTATACATTTTTGCCCCGTATCTTCGAAATGGCTAGACCTGCCTATGCCAAAAACTAATCAGCACGTTTCCTCATCAACTGCAATTGAATGTTTTTTAAATAATTGAAATCGGTTGAACCGTGTTCCCGAAATCGTCGACGAAAATTTGTATCCGCACACACACACATACACATACACACATACATACATTTTTTCTAAGGTATGCCAAAACGTTCAGAAACCTCTGAAACTCAAAGATATATAAAAAATTTTCATTTTCGATTTTTTTGCTATTTAAGTATAACTTACCCTACGGGAAGTTAAAAATAACTATGTAGGTTTGAATTATACCCACAAATAAATACTTAGTACTTTTTGAGCATATGTTCTATTCCATATGATCAATTTAGCACTTTCTTTAAAATAAATATTTACAAGATTTATTTTTGGTCAATCTTTTCTTAGAAAAGTCTAAATCAATTTAAAATTAGGTGAGACTAGTATATCTATTCCTATGTAATTTGCAGCTGAGAAAAGAATTTAAAATATTAAAAAACATTTGGTAATTATAGTGTTTTTCAACAATTGTTTGAAATCACTAAACATTTAAACCTTACTTACACCTTACTCAAATTCTCGAAGAAGAAGTTCATGTTTAATATAAAAATCAAATTTGCTTATTTCATGCTCTCACGTGTTCTGGAATTTAATTAATTCTGGAATTTGGAAAATATATATTATTATATTCGGCCTTTCGTCTACTCTTTTTCAAAATAAGCTGAATTGATTTCAATAATGGAGAAGCCATTGTATATAACCCGATAAGCACTGGCGTTAATCTGTTTTTTGGAACAATTGTCGTCGTAATTAGCAGAAAAATTAAAAAAATGTTAGTTTTGTGAGATGAAAATGTAAACATGCGTTTTTGAACGTACGTCATTTTGTCGACGTTTTCTCGAAAACGGCCGCACCGATTTAAAAGGGCAAAAAGTGCCAAAAATAGTAACTCAGTGTTTGAAGATATACAGTCATCCTCGTTTAACGCGGCAAGTTGCGTACTTTATATGGAGAACTGCTAATAAAAAACTCGTATTTAACATACAATTCAGGCTAGTTCGTAGTGCGTTCTATGGAAACTTAATAGTGGGGAACCGCGCTATTAAAAACTCAGAGTTAGTACAAATCGCATTATTTTTATCGTGCTGTATGGAGATTAAGGAATACAACTTGAATTACGGACTAAATGACATGTATGACATAGACAACTCATTCAAAAATTGGCGCGACGCAGTAGTCAGTCCAAACGTGTTCTATATACAGCTACTATATAATCAGGCATGTCTAAAAGATAAAAGTCGATAACAAACCTTACATTAATACCCTTTTGATATCAAGTTCCTATAATCACTCATAGATTGCGCAAGGAACTTATGGACTGTTGAACAAAATTCGTGTAATAGGAAGTCCGTGTTGTCGGAGGGATGTCGGATTTTTAGCTCCGCGTAGTATGGAAACCGTGCACCCAGAGTGCCGTGTTAACCGAGGGTTGACTGTATATACATTTTTGATATATCATCAAATTTATAGTTTATTAAATCTAAATGAGGTGTAAATGTATATACCATATTTCTTTTTTTGTTCTTGATAAATTTAGAAATATGTAGACGGGCACTTAAATTTTGGGAAACAAGATGTTGGCGATGAACATGTCACAATGTGATTATGAATGCATTCTGCACTTCCTTTTTTATTATGCAAGAAAACCCTTGAAGATTTTTACCATCGATGGATCCATAAATCAATAAACGTAATGGTTGTATCACTATTGTTCCATTTTATTTCAAAAACTCTTCTAATTGAAGAAATATCGATTTTTTGCTCTCGTTTGTTTTCAAAATTAACAAATTTGAGAAATCTTTTACAGTTAAAATCGTAATATTACATATTGCATTTAATTTATAAATATTCTGAACTCCACTGACCCCAAAAGCTGCCCTCAATGCACCTCTGCTCATCACCGCCCACTGGTTTCTTGCAGCGCTACACTTTGGAAATCACTGGTTCAAACGAACATCTTATAATCTTACAAAAAGTGGTTTAATTAAAAAAATCAATAAATCAATTGGCAGCGCTTTTAGATGATATTTAAGCAAGTGTTTGTGCACTATACTTAATATTACAAATATTATAAGTCTATATTGAAGATATTACTTTTGAATCGCTCTAATTTGTTTTTAGTGAAAGTGAAAACTTTTATTTTTATTTCGAATTTCAAATTTATTTGTGAAATATTCAGTTGAAAATTTTATCTAAGTAGGTAAATCTGAATTTTTATTCATTAAGTTGAATATTTATTATTTCCGTAGGGTAGTTATAGTAATGGGCCGAAACTCGAAAATGAAAATGAAACCTCAGAAAAAATGGACGTGTGTGTGTGTTTTTCATGCCGCATTTTTTCGTCCATGTTTTCGGGCGCATGGAACAACCAATTTGAATGGTTCAAAAAACATTCGATTTCATTGATAGGGAGATGTGCTGATTAGTTTTTGGGCAAAGGCAGTCCGCCGTTACGGAGGTACGGAGTAAAGAGTGCAGAAAATACAAATCGAGTTTTGAGAGAACGGAGTATCCGATTTGAATTATCTAAAAACGTTCAATTTGTGATGATTGGAAAAATAGGTAATTAGTTTTTTGGCAAAGGCAAGTCCGGCCATTTCGAAGATAGAGAGCTAAATGTGTAAAAAATGGCAGTTTTTGGGAGAACTAAGCGTCCGATTTGAATGATTCAAA